CATTAACGGTCTTTATCGTATTATCATTACTCCGACTTTATGTATGGAGATAACTTATATGATATATGTCGAAGGATTATATATAACCTAGATTGGATAAGATAGAAAACGAATAAGTGGGGTATGTACCTATATATATATCATATGTATATATTAGTAATATGTAAGATCCGGACATTGAATAGAAATGAGTTCAAATTATAATTAAGACACTAAATGGTGATATATAGATTAAGAATAAAATTTCCGAGAATATGATAAAAGTATCTATGCATATGTTGTTGTCATACTTATATGTTGAACCTTGAATCCTGATGTGTTTGGGGACTAGATAATTATTATAAGCATGAAGTTATAAAATAAATGTGGATGATTGATGAATATGTGGACGTTACCAAAGTGGAAGATATATACTGAATAAAACTTAAATAAGCATAAATCTGTTTATTAATGATTCACAAGAAATAAAAGACATACCAAAGTGGACATATATAATAAACATTTCCTTACATGTGGCGATGGGATTTCCTCCTCCTGGTCCCGTAGTCATAGATGATCCTGAAACAGACAAATAAATGAATAATAATTATTAAAGCAGGGAATACAAACAAACAAACAAATAAACAAATAAATAAATACAAATTGTAACGGTGCGTATTTTTTTACGTCTCACGGGCGGTGCGTAATGATGCGGATTTTTCGATGCGGAATTACGACGGTGCGTAGTTAGCGAAGCGGATTCTTACGACGCGGAATAACTCGTCGGTTTGCCAGAGTTCGTTCGTGTGGTTTATCGGGAGACTCCAAATTAACAAAAATGACTTAAAGAAAATAAATATTTATTTTATGAGAGCACTTGGATCAATAATATAAAAGAAAAATAGTAACAACGAGTACATGAGTATTTTGGTTTCGGTCTAACGGTTATAAATATCGGCAGTAAATAATATAATTCCTTATCGGTTCAATGAGTTAATGTTTCGACGGTACATGTGTATAATTCTAATTGTGAACGGAAAATAAACGGCGTAAATCTAAACAAACTAAATTATTTAATCAGTCGGTTTCGTACGGTACGGAGCAAAGTAATAAAAATAAGTGATACCGCGTATATCCGAGCCTTGCTGAGTCGACGACGGTTGCCGGTACGCTGTGCCCTAAGACAGTGAGAGACTTCTCTCGTGCAAGGGGTATCGGAAGTCGAACGCCGGGAACACCCGACCGAGGCAGAGAACACCCTGCCCCTAGAACGACGGAGAGTCGGAAGTCGAACGCCGAGACACCCAGCCGAGGCAGAGAACGCCCTGCCCCTAGAACGACGGAGAGTCGGAAGTCGAACGCCGAGACACCCGGCCGAGGCAGAGAACGCCCTGCCCCTAGAACGACGGAGAGTCGGAAGTCGAACGCCGAGACACCCGGCCGAGGCAGAGAACGCCCTGCCCCTAGAACGACTATCGGGATGGGAGCGAGTACGACC